TACCAAATTGGCTAAACCTGATATATAAACAATACTAAAATAGCACTGGTTTAGCTGATGTAATTATATGTCTTAATATATTCTGATTCTTCTTTTGCAGTATTGCAAAGCTATTTTTTTATTAGCTAAAACTGAAATTAAAACAAAAATCATCGCTACTTATAAATAAATGTAATACTGTATAAATGATTCAAAAGCATACCATCGTCTGTAGGAATCATGTTTTTTTTTTTGCAGTATTGCAAAGCAATTTTTAATCACTAAAACTAAAATTAAATATGAAAACCGAAAATATTAAAAATAACAGCTATATAAATAAATACTATAATACATATAATCATATGTAGGGTTTTAGTTTTTTGCATTATTGCAAAGCTATTTTTCATGACTACAACTTAAACTGAAATTAAAATGATCACCAAAAATATTAAAATAAAAGCTACTTCTAAAAATTAAAATAAATGCTGTAATTCTATGTAATCAAACAATACTAAAATAATACTGGTTTTGCTGCTGTGATCGTATATCATATAGGCATGTAATATACTATATTGTGATTCTTGTTCTACTCTGATTTTAATCAGTAAAATTCAACTAAAAGCTGGAAATATTCAAATAAAAGCTGCTTCTAAAATAAAAGCGATTTCTAAAATATAAAGAAATGCTATATAACTAATACAAAAACAACACTGATGTAATTTGCTGATGTAATCAATATATTGTGATTCTTTTTCTTGCAGTATTGTAAAGCTATTTTCAATCATCGTATTGATCGTGTTGGTATTTTTGAAATGTTTTGCATTTCAAATAATTGAATTTAAAGAAGCTCAACCAGAGTGAATGTGCCGCACTGTGATGCTGCATGCAGTTAAAAATAGTATCGTTTTGAAAACCATGTCTAATTTGTCTGGCGGACACGCACCATTGTACTGATACCAATTGTGCAGCCGTTCAGACAACCCACAAATTAAGTTTTGCTCATCCATAGAATCAACCTTATACATAATTTTAGTCATGTACAAAACTGTCTATACCAAGTGAAAAGCAATAGCGTGTTTAATAATGAACATTAATGTTGCCTGTGATCCCATTAACCCGTGTACATTAGACCTGTGATGAATATAATAACTGCCACTTGATGCAGTTGTGTTGAAATAGTAACGACGTGCGCTAATTGTTCCTCAGTTTCAAAGGCGATGAGCATCGCGGATGAGCAGCAGTCGCCTCACCCCGCCAGCGCCGCGTCTCTCCAGCACCACGGACAGTTCCCACCCCTCATGCCCAGCAAGCAGACCCCGCCCGAACCGGGAGGGGGCAACACCAGCCCAGGGGGGCCCCAGGGGCCCAGTAACTCCAAGCCCCCGACCATGTCCTACGCCAGCGCCCTCCGAGCCCCTCCAAAGCCCCGACCGCTGCCCGAGCAGGTCAAGAAGAACAGTGACCCCATCTCTCTGTTACAGGAACTTAGCATAGGCAGTTCAAACAGTAGCAATGGCTATTACACGTATTTTAAATAAGTCAATATATATGAACTATATACACCTGTTAAAAAGGAAAACTGTTGAAAAAAAATAGAATAACAATCTAAAAATTTTTTTAAAAAAAACAATAAAAATGTCTTTTGATTTTGTGGGATAGTTAGACATTTTGCGTTTTATTATTTTTTACTTGCTTTAGTACTATAGTTGGTTATTTTACAGTTTGGCATCTTGTGATTTTACAAACCGAATCAGCATATACCAAATGTTTTGGTGTTTCATGAGATATATATATATATATATATATATATATATATATATATAACAAAGAGGTTTTGTTTGTGCTCGCCTGATCAGGATATAAAAAGTGAACCATTATGAGAGCTATAATATATTTACTTATGCTCAGGAAATGGTTATTAGTGCTGGCAAAAGGCACGAAGCAACCAAAAACAAAAACTGGTCATTTAATGAAGCTGTTAGCAATACAACAAACTGATATCTTTGTACTGTAGAACTGCATTACCATTAGTAAATTAACAAATAGACAGAAAATGAGCGTTCGTTATTCTTCGATCACGGTTTTGTTCATTATTTGGCCACAGTTTAGAGAAACGCACTCAGTCATGGTGAGATGGCACTTTTTCGAAAAGCTGTTTAGGTATCGATTTGTCTACGGTATGTAATGCAGCCTCATATTGTCGTTTATATCCTTTCGAAAGTTAACAGCGGTTTAATTGTTGCTTTTACGGTAAAAATCATCATCAGCTTCCATCTTTTCACCATTTAATCAATCTCCCAAACATTTATAACTATTCAACATCTTAAAGGGATAGTTCACCCAAAAATGAAAATTCTGTCATTAATTACTCACCCCATGTCGTTCCAAACCCGTAAGACTTTCGTTCATCTTCAGAACACAGATTAGGTTATTTTTGATGAAATCCGAGAGCTTTCTGACCCTCCATAGACTGCAACACAACTGACACGTTCAAGACCCAAAAAGTTAGTCAGGACATTGTTAAAATAGTCCACGTGACATCAGTGGTTCAACCTTAATGTTATAAAGTTACGAGAATACTTTTTGTGCGCAAAGAAAATGAAAATAACGACGCATGCGTCCTGGTACTCTCGTTTATGCGCGTCGAAGACTGACACAAGTTGAATAAAGTTATTTTTGTTTTCTTTTTTAATAAATCTGCAAAAATGTCAACAATTCTGTGTTTTTCTGTCAATATGGGGTGCTGTGTGTACATTTAATGAGGAAAAAAATTAACTTAAATGATTTTAGCAAATGGCTGCAATATAACAGAGTGAAAAATTTAAGGGGGTCTGAATACTTTCCGTACCCACTGTATATTAGTTTGAACTTTTTCTATACGAGTACATTCATTGTACACTCTAAAAAATGCTGGGTAAAATATGGACAAACCCAGCAATTGGGTTGTTTTGGCCCAGCGGTTGGGTTACATTTAACTCAACCGCTGGGTCAAAACAACCCAATTTTTTAGTGTATATACACATTCTAAATCCTTTTCTTCTTGGAAAATGGGCCAAACATGCAATCAAATGAGAACGAGAATGTCCTTCCCTCTAAATTATGCCTTTAGCATCCCAGCAACAGGAAGTAGTAACTCATGGTTTGGTGGTGTGTCTTAAACTAAAGGCCACTGGCTAGTAAAAACAAAGGGCAAGAACTTCAATATGTCCTGTCCCAACTATACATCAACACAGAAAATGTTTGTGGGGTTTTAACAATCTGTCTCGAGGCAGTTGTTTGAGATTCGCTCGCTCAAAAGCAGGAAGTCCAAGTGTGATGTGTGTAAAGAATATAACAACTTAAATTACCTGGGAAGTATAAACCTGTACTAGTAAAGTTATTAGATTCACCTCACTACTATTACAATATGAACTATATACACCTGTTAAAAAGGAAAACTGTTGAAAATAAGTGCAATCTGTATTTGCCGAAACTGGTCGTACAACAAATATCCATTGCTTATACTTTTATGGTCACCCATCATCACATTCAATGGCACACTCTAAAAAATGCTGGGTTAAATACAACCCAGTGCTGGGTAAAATAGGGACAAACCCAGCAATCGGGCTGTTTTGACCCAGCGGTTGGGTTAAATGTTTAACCCAACCTTCTGGGTAGTAACCCAACCGCTGGGTCAAAACAACCCAATTGCTGGGTTTGTCCCTATTTTACCCAGCACTGTGTTCGATTTAACCCAGCATTTTTTAGAGTGCACTGTTTCAGAAATAACAGATTGTAAACTTTACATATTATAAACAAGTCCCTAAATATACATTCTAAGCTGTCGTCTATTGCATATAAGCATGAATGCATATAATAATGTTTTCATATGCCGTAAAACATACAAAATTCATGTTAGATATTTCATATAGACCTTAATGGGATAGTTTAACCAAAAATGTAACCATTTACTTTAACCCCTTAACTGTCACCGTCCCACCTGTGGGACGCTTGGCGCTCTATATTTTGTTGTTGTCCTTTTTCTCTATCAAATCTTTTAGTAATCATCATAAAGTATATATAATTTGAAAGCTTAGAAGCCCAAGATTCATCCTCTGAAAACCATTTAGAAATCGGACATTGCGTTACCATAGAAATGGTACTTTAAAATCTTTTGGCGGTCTCCTCCCTCTTAGTGGGCGGTGTCAAGTGTCATATTACAAAATGCATTACGGTCTTTTAGAATCAAACCTTTTTATAATCTTGACAAAAAATATATCACTGGAAAGGTCTGAGTCTCAGGATTCCATATTTGGTGTTTTGAGATAGAAGTAATATTGACAGAGAAATCTAGACGTTTGTGACAGAAAAATGCATTAAAAATATTTTAATGGAGTTTAGATGGCACCCGGTGGCTGTTTGTGGTATGATGCCCTAAATAAAATGTCACAGGAACCTACATTTTTTTCATATCAACTTCAAATTTGGAACATAGCTTTAGACATAATGCTTTAATTTTTTTTTACAAATTTTAGAGTAAAACCTGTTATGTGAAATATTTATAATAAATAAAATAAAATTAATAGTGCATTTTATTTACAGTACATTTAAACTTATATAATTTTTTGATACTTACATTTTTGGAAACAAATTCCACTTTTGCAATAATCTACTGATTTTCTTCTTTAAAAAGAGACCAACCTTAGGTCTTATTCCAAAGTGTTAATAAATTACAACAATTTAAGTTTGGATAGTGCACTTTCATGCCTATTTAAAAAAAATGGGGGGTGACAGTTAAGGGGTTTAAACTTGCATGACTGACCGACTTCTGCTGAACACAATTTCAAGGAATCTATACAAATAGAAAAAAGTTTTGGATAATCTATCCCTTTAAATAATTCGACGTCGCTGTCAATGCTTAGTTAAAAATATCAATGCATCACTATCATCATCTATAAATGCAATGCATCATTATCATTCGCTCTGCTAGTGTGACTCCTGTGTCCGTTGCGTTGCGCTCTTACTCTGTGGTCGACGCTACTCTAGTCTATGGGCTCTGGTTCGGCGTCCATGCAGGTCTCCCAGGGGTTTCTGGGCATGTGTGGCATGGAGATGATGAGGAGGCTGATGCCGCTGAGGAAGAGGAGGGTGAAGGCGGCGCAGGCGCAAGCGAAGGACCACGAATAGTAGTACTCGATCCATATGGTCTCGTCACTGTCAATCATGCGTTTGACCGACTGCCTCATGATCTCCACCGAGATGACGATGCACAGACCTGTGAGGGTGAGAAAGGTCACAGACGTTAAATGGAGAATAAAGAATGGTGGTTTTGTGGTTGGTGTCTGGGGTTTCTAGACTATCGATTCACCGGCGTTGAATTACACCGTCCTGCAAGTCCTTGAGTACGTATAAACGCTCACATCTGCTTTCGACCTGCAGAACACTTGACCAGTTGCAACTGCATGAATGTAGCAAGCTGTAATCCTGATAGTGTCTTAAAATCACCCTTGTTAAAAAGAAGTGTGCTTAATTGTGTCGAATGTGCACTTGTAGTATACTTCACATCTTGGAAGTATAACTCTAAAAACTGTACTTGCAGATAATACTGATGAAATAAAAGGACACTTAAGTGAACTGAAAGAGAGACACTTTCATGACACTTTTAAAAAGTGCACTTTATAGGTTAAATGGAGAATAAAGAATGGTGGTTTTGTGGTTGGTGTCTGGGGTTTCAAGACTATCGATTCACCGGCGTTGAATTACACCGTCCTGCAAGTCCTTGAGTACGTATAAACGCTCACATCTGCTTTCGACCTGCAGGACACTTGACCAGTTGCAACTGCATGAATGTAGCAAGCTGTAATCCTGATAGTGTCTTAAAATCACCCTTGTTAAAAAGAAGTGTGCTTAATTGTGTCGAATGTGCACTTCTTTGAAGTATAACTCTAAAAACTACTTGCAGATGATACTGATGAAATAAAAGGACACTTAAGTGAACTGAAAGAGAGACACTTTCATGACACTTTTAAAAAGTGCACTTTATAATCAATCATATTTTAATATTTTTTTGCCGTGCTTTACAGAAGTACACTCATTTTGTTGCGTTCACTAACATACTAAAGCACATGCAAAGTATCTGATTGCAATTTGAATAATAATTAGTTAAATTTTTATTTACTCAATTGCAAATTCATTCATATAAATATGTAATTATGAATATATTTAATTGCATGACATACACGTTTCAGTAGAAATGTCATTAAGGTATATTTTATCATCATAAATAATTGACAGTACATTCAGCAGTACACTTTGACCATATGTATCAATGGCAATATAAGTAATTATGAAATTACATACAAAGATGTAGTTAAGTGGGTAAAAAAAGACTCTATTATAAATTTAAACTATAACACTTTTTCAATTTTTTGCAATAATAATGCTATTAAGTGTCAGAAAACATCAAATAATAAGTACTCCATAAATACTATTTATAAAAAATATGCAAAAGTGTACTTCTGTTACACAGTGGTATCAACAACAACAACAACGAAAACTAATATAAATGCTAATAGCATGGTTTCTTGGACATTGTAGTAGGCTCAATACCACAGTATTGCTTGAACTATGAATATTCAGTGTACATGAGAGAAGCATGGTACCAGTTAAACTACACAAAATACAAAAAATTTTTAAGAAGATATATTCAGTTTAACATAGTGCGTACCTGCATGTAATGCACTTCATGCTGTTAATTACAATGAATGGAATATAATTTCTTTCTCTTTGCATTTTTAAAACAATACGGTGCAAGATTATCGAACAATTTAGTTAAGTTAAACAAGTTAGGTCAAAAGTAATCTAAAAGTGGTCCTTTTACATTACCTAAAAAGTGTAATCTAATGGATTACGTTACTAACTAAAATTTTTGTCATGTAATTCGGAATCAGTAACGGACTACAATTTGCAAGCAGTCCGTCCAGCACTGAGAATTGGTTCCACAGCAAATTTAATTTGATTTCCTCCATCTCTGCTTGGTATTAAGTGGAAAACTTTGCACTATCCACACATGATTTCAAAGGGGGAAAACCTTACCTTTCTGAGTCTTTACTTCAAAAACTTCAGCCTCTTCCCCTGATGTGAAGTGTTTGAAGTAGGAGCAGTTCTTGACTGCAAAACAAGATGAAAACAGTGATTGTAGCTGAGGGTTGCAGGTGCTGCCGTAGCCTGTCATTACGATGCAGCCAAACTACCAATGAGCCCTCTTGACATTTTCTCCAGAGACCATAGTGCTCGAAAACAAGCCAGGCATTCGTGTGTGTCCATCGAATGGATCATGAATTCTGAATTATGTGCGGAGAGCATGTGATTACGTTGCGCAAGCTTTCTTACTGGTAGGATGCTGTAAGTGTGCACAATTTGTATGTGCTTTTTGGACAGGAAGGCAAATTAGCTGATGAAATGGAACAAGCTCTATTTCCTACCATTATTTTGCCTTCACAAAACAACACTTTGTATTTCACATGCCTAATATCCCCCTCCATAGGCTAATTACCAGAAATGAGCTTCTCGCCCATGTGTTCATCAGGTTACAGGTCCACAAAATCGTGAAACGAGTCCTCGCTCTCATATCTCCCAAGGCAATGGGAAAAGTCGGGTTATATAAGAGTTCATATGGTAGGAACCTCTTCTTTAGATTAAACTCATAAAGCAACCTCAGCAACCCCCTGTGCCAGGAGAAAGACTGACAGAGGAGCTGTTTGTTACGCTGGACCAAGAATCTCCAGCACAAGCGGGGGGTTGGGGGAGGCCTATGTATAGGTTACCTAGCAACCGGCTGGTCTTAGCTTTATTAGTAAAGGCAGACTGACAGCAGCGAGGGGTTGGGATGCATCACGCCGTGCTGCTTTAGAACGTGATTTACTCAGCTTATTTGACTATTCCCATCACAGGCCCTTAACGCAAGCTGTTGTGGATGAGTTCATCTCACGATTGGCCTCTGAGAGCCTTTGGCCGTAATGTTTGGTGCCATGTGTGGGCTAATACACACACGTGTTGGGTCGTGGTCAATTGTCTAGCCCTGCGTTAGCATTTCAATACCCTCAACCCACGATGTGAGACTTGATTTAATTGTGTTTCGAGCCCTTTGCGGCAATAGAGAGTTGTGGAGTGTGTATTGTGGAGATTCATTGACATCCCTCCATGTTATCCCAGTCTTTTCATGTCCTCTTCACCTGTCTTGCTTCGGTAGGCCTGTCAGTGTCCTTCATCCATCTGACAGAGACATACAAGGACAGAGCGATCATGAATCATTCGCAGATAAAAGGGCTGCTCTTGACAAATCTGTCATTTTTTCCCCTGGCACGTATCGAATGCGAGACCTGTGCCATGCGCCTTGCTCTGCATGTAGGCAGATCTGTTTTTCAGCATGATTGTACCTAAAGCTCAAAAAGAACAGTGTGAGTCTTTTCAGTTCAGCGGCATCGCCGCTCAAAATGAGGAGCCGAAAATAGCGATTTGGGGCGTATCATTGACCTCGCAGTTTTGTTAATGGAAGCACTTATTTCAGGGAGGAGGTTGATTGCTGGGTTGCAGTGGCTGTCATATTGTTTTTTACATCTTGATTAAAGCTCCCTCCCTTTCGTGGCCCAAGCAAACAGACCACTGGGCCTGGCAGGTTTTCGAGCGCCGTGAGGCAGCTGTGCTGTTTTTATTTAGGTAAATATGGAGCAGTGGCTCAAGAAAACAGAGGTGTCCTCTTTTGTCCACTTGTAGAGTGACCGTTAGATTCTGGGTCAATGTGAGAGGAGGAGGACACATTTAAAGCATCTAACCCGCTAAGGGTGCTCATATCTGGGTCACACAAGGGAAGTGGCTTCCTCTGGGGCCTCTGGAAACTGAGATAAAGCCCCTGCAACACAAAGGTACTAAAGGAATATTTCATCCAAAAATAACAACTCTGTCATTAGCCTCATCATTACCCTCATGTTGTTCAAAACAAATTACTTTCTTTCTATGGTGGAGCACAAAAAAGAACACATGCAGTGACTAGGGACCATCAAGTTCCACAAATGACAAAAGAGCACCATTGAAGTACTGTAATGGGCCGTTCACACAGAACGCGTCTTTGCATCTCAAAAATGTGAGATGCAGCGCTCATGAATGGTTTCGAAAAACGCTGTGCTGAATGCCTCTTCTGTCATGTTGCTATCAAATAAAACAGTTGCCATACCAACTTGACCTGATTGGTCCACAAGACTAGAATTGAAGAGTCATGCTTTGTGTAAAAATTCTTTTAACTTGACACATCGTCTTAAAGGGGACATCGGATGCAAAATTCAGTTGTACATGGTGTTTGCGTATATAAATGTGTCTTAGCAGTGTGTGGACACAACCACCCTACAATGATAAAAATCTATTCACTCCTTTTATTTTTATCTCTCCGAAACCTGAACAGTTTCAATTATCAAGCTGCTTTGATTTTCTAAACAGTATGACGTTATACTGCTCAAGCCCCGCCCACGACCGCTGACGGACTGTCTTGTATTAGCATATTTCCGCCCTCAGCCAGTATGCTGTCCGCCATTTTCTCCATGCTCAGGCAGCTGTAGCGACAACAATGTCTCGTAAGCAATGCAGGTGTTTTGTAGTTGGATGCAAAAGTGAACATTAGAACCTTCTTTCTTACGACATCAAAGCCACTGAGGACGCAGTGGATTAGTTTTGTTTTTGATGGAAATGCACCACCGAATACACAAAAAACGCAACAGAGGGGTGGGGTGAACAGTATCTCATTATCACTTAAAGCGACATGCACCGAAAACACAGCTGTTTTTGACAAGGTAAAAGGGAGTTGTTTTACACGACCATTGAAGAATTTTAACCAAAGTATGTTGCAGACATTTCACGAAGATCCTAATGAATCATACCAACTTGTGGAAAATGGGCAGCCGATGTCCCGGGTCCCCTTTAAAAACACAGCACTCATATGTGAGAAGCTGCAAAAGATGCTAGTACAACGGTCATACGCATCCGTCTAGCTTGTTTACATAGAAAAACAATGGAAAAGTAGTGCATTGGAATGGAAAAACACGGTCTGTGTGAATTACCCCTATTGGTAGTCCATATGACTTGTGTGCTGTACGTCTTTTGAAGCCATATGATAACTTTCTGTGATGAACAAACTGAAGTTTAAGTTATTCATTGAAAATCTTGGTACAGTGCTTTTGGTAACAATAACAAGAGACAATACCATCTGCTATCCTGACACATCTTGATGCATCTAACATTCTTCAAAATATCTTATTTTCTCTTCCACAGAGGAAAGAAATTTGGTGAGTAAACAATGACAGAATTTTCGTTTTTGGCGTGAACTACCCCTTTAACTATTTCTTTAAACAATTATATCCCACAATACTGTATCAGAATCCACTGAGTGGTTCCAATTTCAAGTTGTTTCAAGACACTTAAAATGCCTATTTTAACATAATTAACTCCACTGGGAAGATCGAGAGACATTTTAACAGACCCGAGTGTTGAATGAGTGTGAAATGCTAGATTCCCTCGAAGAACTTGATGAGCCTCGCCAACACTCATAGCTCTTCTTTTCCCTCTGTGAGAAGCAGGTCTGGGAGTGAAGCCAAGAAACATTGAGTGAGCAGGAATATAACTGCTTAAATGCTAATGTTTTGGCTTATAGCTTCTTCTGTGCAATTCAAGAGGCTATCCAAATCTAACCACTCCCCTGCAGGCAGTTGTGTTTGCAGTACTAGTGTGAACTGGCCCACACCTTGTCTCACAGGACGTCGTTTTAAATGGCTGTGCTCTGCAAGGTGTCCGTGGAGCCTCAGGGTTAGGTGCTTTCCAACCCTTGCCAGCACAAATTCTCCCACCGGGGCAGGAAGATCAGTAGGTGTCTGCCAAGACTGCAATCCTCCACCTGATTGAACTGCTTATCTCCTAATGGTCTAAAGAGAGAGCTGCGGGGTTGGGTTGGAGAAAACTCATGCTGCACATCAGTAAACAGTGCTGGTACTGTGCACTGTCATAAAGGAAATGTTTGACAAAGCACAGATTTTGTTCATTCTTATTTATGTTGACTTTGACTAATAATCTTACCTCTGAATTTATATCTTAGATCTGAGGGAATAATGGCTAGTCTGTAGCATTGATAATCTAAATTTTGACTATCGACATAAAGTCTAGTACACACTAAAGCTGATTCCAATCAAGAACCACTCACTTTTGGCCCTCCACTGTATTTGCATGATGCTTAAGGGTGGCTAAATTTCAAATATCCCTGAGAGCCGTGTTGAAAAAAACAGCATTATGCTGATTGGGTATGTTTTGAAGCATGGTAGCTGGTTTGAGCTGGTCATGTGCTGGTCCTAACTTAAGCTGGTCCTAAGCAACTAGCTCCTGCTCAGAACCAGCTCATAACCCGCTCAGGACCAACTAAGGATCAGCTCAAACCAGCTGCCATGCTTCAAAACATTTCTAAACAGCATATGCTGTTTTTTTTCAACAGGGAGTAAAGTGCAATGCACATGCACTTAAGGATAACTCATGTACTTGCAAAAAGGTCTTAAAACTCTTTCAAAGACCACGGCTCAAAGCAACTAGTTAAGCAAGCAAACCCTTGACTCCTTCTCTTCAGAAGTTTTCATTGTAGCACCCATGTTTCCTGGAGGAATTGCAAAAACCTGTGCACCATTTTGGAAAATGTTGATTTCCGGAAATTACATAAAGCCAATCAGATTGGAGCTTGCTGCTTTAGGAAAGCTCTTGCCATTTTCTGTAAATACGCTTCAAATGAATGGTCTTCAGTCCATAAATGGTCCAATGGCATCTCAGGCTGAGGCTACATACTAAGGCTGAGGATGATTAGATTGTGCGTACAGTTGTCAGCAAGTCTAAGATAAGTAACTTTGTTGGAGAATTAGAGTTAAACCCAATTGGAACTGTAGGCTGTTTTCATGTTGACTTCAACATCCATAGTTGATGTTAAATCTTGGGGCCTTGCTTAACACAGGGACGTATCGCTCTGTTTATCCCCACAGATCTTCCTGGGGTGTGACAAGAGGATGCTGGTCTTACTGCGCCCTGGATTACACAGGGGACAGCCTGGATCCAATTACATTTTTTACTCTAGTTGTTTTTGTGTGGTTTCTGAGCCCTCTGTTTCATTTATCCACTAAATACTATGATCTTTTTGTGTGACATTTGATCTATAACCTGCCATCTGCCCTAAAAGTTTACTCAAATATATCTGCAGAATGCAGTTGAACAGAAGGTAGATATTCAGATGTCAAGGCAGATATTCAGTGCTCTGTCAATGAATGCATACAGTCTTTACTGTCATACGAGTGAATTGCATTACTCTTTTCTTCTTCTTCTCAATCTGTTTGACCTCAAGAGCTTGGTTGTAGGAATGAAATGAGGCTGATCTGTCCCTAGAGCAGCGTAAAGTACAGTCGAGTTATTTCCTGTGTCCCACAGGTAAATTCAGCTCATCTGCCTTTCCATTAATTCAAATCCACAGATCTGCTCGTAAATCATCTTAACCTGTCTATTACAGCCTTAAACAACCCAGTGACATCAGAAACAGCAAATCAACACCCATTCAATTCATTAGCACTCTGGTCAGTGACCTCACTAAGCAATTCAAAAAAGACGCAATTAAAATAAAACCTTAATGCAATTTGAGGAACAGATTCCCACCTAAATTGGGAATTAACGTTGAAAGGAGAAACTCCAGTGCACTTAGAGTAGAAAACTTTTCACCTTGAACTTTCTTGCACGTATGAAGTATGCCTGACTTGGCTTCTTCTGCTCCCCAATTTCCAGTTAAAAAACTTAAGATGAATGAGGTGCTCTTCCAAAAACTTCACACAGAAGATACATCCTTGCCTCTGGGCTATATCGGACGACACGGCAGGACATGTGCTCATGAGAAATAACTTGGATGTGAACTTCCTTACCTCCTGGCAGGCTGATAGGGCCACAGCCTTTACCCTGAGGGTCTTCCTCCACAATGAAGATACTCTTTTTACACAGCCTCCAGAGTCCGAAGTGGGCCGCTTCGCAGGTGGTGTTGAGCCGCTCCACCCTGGGACTCAGCACTGCCCAGTGGTCCGTCACCACCGCCGCCAACATGGACGAGATGCCCACCAGGATAACCAAGAAGGTGATCTTTACCTTGGTCTTCTTGTCCTCCAGCATGGTGGCCTCCGAAGATAAGTTTGAAAGTGTCTCTGCCCTTGAATTGACGCCTTGGTTTAGTTTACTTCTCAGGCACTAAGAGAAATGTAAAAGTCACACAGCAACCCGCTATCTCTTCACTCCAGCTCGCTGTCCACAAATCTCTGCTTCTGCTTGGAAAAAGAGGCCAGATAATAGTGCCCTAGTTTTCTCTCTCTCTCTCTCCCTCTCGTAAGACAGTTGTTTGGTATGGTGGGCTGTGCCTTTAGACCTGCCTTCATGATGTAGACTGGGAAAGTTTATTAACCAATATTGTAAAATCTACAGCTCGCATAGAGGAAATACAGAAATTACAGAAACACAGCTTTGACAAGCCAGAGGGCTCATGTCTGAGTTTGTGTACTGGCTGATGTCTTAGACCATTAGGACATGTGATCACTTGCATAGTAATGAATAAACAGCCAGATGATGCCAGGTCTGTCAGAAATAAAATGATTTAATAATATCCTATTTGTGATGGACTGGTCATCCGTCCAGGGTGTTTCTATACTTTCGGCCTGAGACACTGGAATACGCTCCAGAAACCCTGTTTTGAGATTTTAATGGATAGATGGAATTATTTCATTTTTTACATTGAATTTTATTCACGATGTAAATAATTTAACTAATACATCAATGTCAACTTGTGATGTGGCTTGGCTTACCAATAAGTCATCTTTGTTTCGAGCAGTACTTACATTATTTTTAAAAATGTTCTAAAACAACCCATCCAAAGTCAGTTTGAGTAGCTATGGATTTCAGTTGAAAATAAAATTGGGTTTTTGCTGAAGAGTAGCCTCAAGCTCACAGCTGATTGATCTATGAACATCCGAGATGACGTGCAGATTCAACACTCGCAGTGTAGAGTCTCAAATTGTGACGAGTCACTGGGCAAGACTTTTCAAATTTTACATGTACTGAATTTCATTTTCATCTTGCATGATTTGATGTTGAAGGCTTGTTGTGTTCATTATCCTTGTGCCTGGCTTTTCCAAAGCAGTTTAATTATTTCCTGTGCTACTGTTGCTCATGGGAAATTTCCTTTTATTAGTAGATGATCTACTTTCCACCGTCAGTGAGTGCGAGAGGCTGTATCTATACTTGGGTATCAAAATGGATTTGAGTTTCAGGAGGAGATTAAGACTCTGGACTCTCATTGTTAGCTTTTATTTAAAAAAAGAAAGAAAAAGTTTTTAAATGTTACTAAGTTTGCTATTTAAAATAAAAAGTTATTAGTAGCACCAATGGCAAGCATCACTATTACTATTGCTAATACTTAGGGTTAGTGATATGAACAAACAAAATTTGGTAACTCTTCCAATTTATATCAATTTATGTTGAAGTCGGGACTATCTTGAGAATATCATAGAGGCCTAGGGTGGGCTGTTTCTGTAAGAAATTACATAGCAAAACATGGTTACTACACTTTTACTCTAATAAAACCATGGTTTTCATAATTTTGCACAGTTTTGAGCTTTGCACAGTCAAGCACAACTTACATTTTGTTCAGCAGAAAAAGTGTTGTTTACAAATCGTAAATATGTTAAGTGAGTTAAATTATATTAATCATATACAATATATTTACAATGTATTTAGCAGTCACTTGAAATGTTAATAGTGAAGTATAAAGATGAACAAGTTTTTTTAATTCAGGGTCAGCAGTTACTTTAATATAAACAGTGTTGCTACTATATACTAATTCATCTCCTTTATTTGACCCTCTAACTCTAACACTTTCTAATCTATTTGAATTCTACTTTATCTATATTTATCTTCTAGTAGTTTTTATTAAAAAAACAAAAAAACACTAGCTTTCTATTCTTTCTACTTGTTTTTCTTTGTGTGTGTGTGTGTGTGTGTATATACAGTATGTGTGTGTATAATATATATATACTATATACACCTTGCTACATGTACTGCGTTAGGCTAACCGAGACTTGTCATTTGCACTTATATTTTGTTGCTCTTTTGTTAGTTTTGACTGCTTTTATTGTCCTCATTTGTAAGTTGCTTTGGAAAAAAGTGTCTGCTAAATTGGAATTAGAATATCAGAATAGTCAACAGAAAGCCAATTCTTCTATTCTTCTTCTATCAATTAATTAAAAAAAATCTAGCATAGCGTTAGTTCTGGCAGGTCACGTTAATCAAGCTCGCATCTGCTGACTCTCAGCTGATCCCCATCAACCTATGACAATACGACACCTATCTAAGCATTCATTTATAAGGTCCCTCAGTATTATCAGCAGTTTTCGCATTGCTCAATAGCTAATTATCCTCCTCCATCCCCAACTCCTCCTCTGTCAGTCAGGATTCAGCCTTCTGATTCTCCTTTGAATCAGACTAATTCTAAAATGTGTACATAACATTATTGAACTTTAACGATATCAGCAATACATTTATGTTGGTTCTGTTCTGTTTACCCTGGGGGGTTATCGCTGCTAGGCTGCATGTATATGCAGGGAGTTCTTGCCCAGAACAGAACCATACCGCCAATCCAAACTGTATGCTAATTGTCAATCATCTTTGACGATAGTGGTCCTGACAGAAATGAAAGGTAGACAGATAGAGATAAAAGTAATATTAAAAAGATACAAAATAGCACAAATTAAGCACAACACAGATTTATGTTCACTCTCTTGATACCAAGCACGCACACACACACACACACACAATGTTGGGTTTCCATGATTTAGGGGGACATTCCAGAGGCGTAATGTTTTTTATATTGTACAAACTGTATATTTTATTTCTTTGCCCTAACCCTAACCCTAGCCCTAAACCTACCCCTCACAAGAAACCTTCTGCTATTTTAGATCTTCAAACAAGATCATTCTGTATGATTTATAAGCTTGTTTCCTCACGAGGACCAAAAAATATCCCCACAAGGTCAAAATGTACTGGTATTACTATACCTGTGGGAACATTCCAGGTACCAGGTACACACACACACAGAGGTTGCTATGAAGAATACTTAAATCCTTAATTGTGCTGTAATATTTCTAATATTCAGAATTGCCTGTTGTAATATTTAAATGTACTGTAATGTATTAATACAGCAAAACTGAATATTTCTAGAGTTGGGGTACTCAAATGGACTTGGACGAATGTTGTGTGTAACATAAGATAGCATAAAAATAAAAATAAGTAACAACATAAAAAAAAAAAATTTAATAAACGTTTACCACTCAAACTCAGCTGGTTAAAGACTAGGACCTGACTCGAAAAGGTGAACTCAGACCCAACACTACCAATTTCTATCTATGATTATACATGGTGGTACTTGATATAAATCATAGTACTGAAAGATTAACTGTAAAGAAAACAGTGGTAGTACTATGGAGCCATGGTTGCAGATCATTATTCCCATAGACGTCAGTGTAAGATAAACAAACTAGAACGTTCCCCATGGCATAGTGTCTTCACACAGCTGCCCATTTATTGAATCACTTTCTTTGCCACTCACTGTAGAAGAAAGAGCGCAGAACATAAACAGCTGTAGTGTCCCTCGCACTTGAGTTACCCTTACGTGTTAATAATGTAGCATAACATAAACCGACATCTAAGTCTGAGCTTTTTGTAAAATGCTGTGGCCCACTAATCAAGACTCTGGCCCATTTTCTTTGGTGACAGGTCTTTCGCCGCTTTCCGTTTTTACACAAAACACGTGCAAAAAATGGCACACGGCAAAAGAGCAGCTATCCTGAAGTGAGGCGTTACTGTTCGGGAACTACACCCTGGACCTGATGTATGTTGTGTGAATAATGGTGGACACATTCATTGAGATGGAGAGCTCTCTTGAAATCATTTTTCATCCGCATGGCTCTGCGTGGTAGCTAGGATACAACAGGGATTTAGATGCTGGGCAGAGGTTGAACGCCGCTGTGTTTCCAAACATGCCACTCATGCTTCAGTCTTTCAGGAATTTTTAAATGAGAAGCACCCCTTAATTCACAACAACACTGAACATTTACATCCACAACAGGCAGCTAATTTTATCCCAGCTTATTCAGTATTATTGCTCTGATGGGCAATGGAATTCAATCCCTTTATTGTTGATTTCCATGTAAAGGTCATGATTGCATGACTGTATTCTGGCCCTTGAATAGATCATTTACAGCTATTCTCAAAATAACTCAAAGCTCGTATCATTATTAAGTATAAATTCTGATCATTTGTAAATGTACTCATATTTTCTCTGACGTTTTTACCGTATTGATGCTGTTTTTATCTTTTCATTCACCTCCGCGTATGATGTCTAAAATATACTGACGACCCCCACATTTATGTCAGTTGTTTCCCGATCTAAAGTGTTAAACCGTGAAAATGGGTTATGTACTCATTCTAATTAGAAGTCATTTCTGTCCTACCTGTGAGCGACAAATGGAATAGGCTGTGTTAAAAATGGGTTGCTAAATGGGGAAGTTGTGGCCTAATGGTTAGAGAGTCGGACTCGTAACCCAAAGGTTGTGGGTTCGAGTCAGGGATTGTAGGTGGGGGTGACTGTACAGCGCGCTCTCTCCCACCTTCAATACCATGACTGCGGCGCCCTTGAGCAAGGCACTCAACCCCCAACTGCTCCTTGGGTGCCGCAGCATAAATGGCTGCCCACTGCTGTGTGTGTGTGTGTGTGTGAAAAATGGAAAAGCGGGTGTTTTGACAAGTGACACTGTGATTTGATTCTTTTTGATGATTCGGTCATACCTTTTCACAAACTGCATGTTAATCAAATGAGGCATTTGCATAGAAGTAAAACTGAGATTTGAATTATGTACATAAAATTTAATTAAAAGGAACCTTTACTGTCTTAATACATATTCCTAGTCTTCCTGGTGAAAGTCTCATCATTGCATATTCTAAAAAAAAAAAAAAAAAGGTTTATCTTGTTCTTCCTCCAAAACAACTCCAGACCACTTTGTTTCAAACAATTCTGAAAGGATAAAATCAAATCCCACCCTGCTTTTCTTATTATTGAATATACTGTTTTACATCGAAATGTCAATTATGAACATAAATGGCAATTCAAATTAATAGTCTAACCAGAAACACAGGGTTAAATAGCAGTTTTACTTTTACAATCCATTAGTTTGAACTGAGCCAGCTCACCATTTACTCACCCTCAAACTCACTTTATGTCTTGTGAAGTTTAGTAGAATGTCCAAGCTGTACTTTTCCACATAATATGAATGGTGACTTCTGTATGTGGTTTCTGATGCTAAATCCAAAATTCATATTATACTTAATGAAACTATTAGCATTGGCATTAATCTCAATGGTAGTTTTTGCTGACTCAGGACCCCAGGAACCTTATGAAAAATAATTATTCTTTAGCATAGGCCTACTTAAAATATACTTAAGTGTGAACTGAATGTAATGTTTTCAGGTACTTAACTGCATGTTAAATTCAATAAATGAAAATGCATTATACTTTATAATAATATTAAATCATATTAGCTGAAATTTAGAGTGCCTTAAAGTAGGACTTAAGTATATATTTGTATATAATTTAATAATTATTGTCTTTGAAATAGGGTTAAAGTGTACTAAGTGTACTAAATTATGTCATTTCTATTGTATTTCTTTATTAATACAAACTTGTAAGGATAACGTTGTATATTTAGTACACTTTTAGTACACTTATGTGTACACTTAAGTACACACAGTATGTTAGTCAACACATCAAAATAAGTGTATTTCTTTCAAATCTGTCAAAATCTTATTAAAACATGATTTAACATACACTTTTTGAAAGGTGTCTTAAGAAACATAGTCTTCAAGTGTAGTCTTTTCAAGTACACTTCAATGGCCTTTATTTCATTATTATTTTATCTGCAAGTACATTTTTTTAATAATATACTTTTATGATTTGAAGTAGACCACAAGTGCACATTCAATACAATCAAGTGCACTTCTTTTTCACAAGGGAAAGTATACAATTGAAAATCATTGGTCATGGTGTCTAAATGGCACTCAAAAATTACATAGCAAGCTTTTTTAATGCCTGTCCAAGGAGAGAGATGCTCTTTAGTTTCAGCATCTACCAGCAGGTGCTAATGGGGCCATGTTAACCTGCAAAACCTTCAGTGCTGTTTGTGAATACAGGATCAACACTCTTTTGTGCTACAGTTTTATCACACAGACCCTGATGTTTGTGGGTCACATGCAACAGATGAGAAACATCTCGCCCAGTCTGTCACAATCAACGTCAACGCAGCAGCATTTTTACCTCTGTGTGTCACCATCGCACTGCACAGCTGGGAAACCCAATCTCCAATCGCCGATACAGCTAACGCAGTCTAAAGTTCACTTTGCCGAGCGTGTCGCAAATACATGACAGCCACAATGCAAAATCAATCTAATCTTGTCACGAGTGTTTCATTAGGCTCCTTTGAATTCAAATAAATAACAATTTGATTCCTTTAAATGTGTTAGCTTCCAAATGGAAAGACAATGGTGATTGGTTTCAGATTATATGCAAGGCTGAAGGAGGAGGTGAATAGACTGTATGCATTTCCTAATGACAGGCAATATTATTCAAGCTAAATTAGATTACCCAAACCCTCTGGGCCATCTCCATAAAGGTCAGTGAAAATAGAACTGTCGCATACCAAATCGGTTTGTACCATTCTCCATCAGCTTAAATCTGTGCCACAGACACGGTGGGCAGTAATGCGGCAGAACACGGCTGATCAGGGCCATTCAGATGGACAAATTTCTTAATACTGAGTAAACAGCCGGTTAATAATGAAGACTATTAGAGAGGATGGAGACAAACACTCTTATTGGCAAGGTCAAAGACTGTACCATTACAGAATAAGAATGTCATGGTGAAGAGTATTTTCCTTCTAACAATGTTTGTGTTGTTTCATTATTTAAAAAGACACTACCTTATATGCACACAGATCTAAAGCAGTTTGATTTCAAATTTCTAAGGAAAATGTTACTGGTGCTTGCCCACGTTGTTGATGTTGGGTTGCCAGTTTTTTTGGGGGAAGTGTTTTCTTTCCGACACTCTAAAAAATGCTGGGTTAAATATAATCCAGCGCTGGGTTAAAAAGGGACAAACCCAGCTATTGGGTAGCGGTTAGGTTGTTTTGGCCCAGCGGTTAGGTTGTTTTGACCCAGCGGTTGGGTTGTTTTGACCCAGCGTTTAGGTTGTTTTGACCCATCGTTTAGGTTGTTTTGACCCAGCGGTTAGGTTGTTTTGACCCCGCGGTTAGGTTGTTTTGACCCAGCGGTTGGGTTCAAAACAACCTAACCGCTGCGTCAAAATAACCCAATAGCTGGGTTTGTCCCTTTTTAACCCAGCGCTGGGTTATATTTAACCCAGCATTTTTTAGAGTGAAGTTAAAATAGCCCACCGTATTAATATTCTGGTCAAAAGATATGTCATTTTATTGATGTACAAGCAAAAATATTAAGTCTGATCTCAATGGAAGCTTGTTTCGGTCACAGAATAAAAATAAAAAGATAATTGCAACTTTTTATTTCACTATTCCGAATTATTTTTCTCACAGATCTGTTTCTATTTCATAATTTGGATCTTTTTCACAGAATTGAGCAAAAGAAGTCATGCAGTAAGACTTTTTATCTCAGAATTACAAATTTAGATTAAAAAAAAGTCAGTGATTAACTCGCAATGACACTTTTCTTTGTCTTGTGAGAACAAAAGTCAGAATTTTGAGATATAAACTCAGAATTGTGTGAAAATAAATCTGAAATCAGTTGCAATTACCTTTAAAATGTTTCTATTTTTTGGTGCAAATAATCTTCCATAGATCTCTTAGAATAGTAAAAGCACACCTTTCTTTAACATGTTGCATAATTTGAGGTATAATTCATGTCTGAAGCACAAATGGTGCAGGACTAGAATGTTCACTTTAATACTTATATGGTTAGGGGGTTGTTTAAATCTATAATCTTAAAAATAAGCAATTGTGATAACCCAAACACCACCAATTGTCATTGTTGTGTGACTACTTCATGCTCTTCTTCTGTTAAAGTGGTAAAAACTAGTTTTGATGTCCTTGCTTTGAAGATTAACGAACAGCCTGCTTTTAAATAAATGACTCTTTAGCTCATATCCCATTACTGAGAAATAAGAGGAATGTGGAATTCACCAAAGATTCAAACCCTTCATAAATGTCACTGGAAGGCCAGACTAGTTATACAAAAGCAAGAAAATCTCATTTATTTTAGGTGTAAAAAAAAGTTCAGAGACAGGAAGCTAGCATCACTGGATTGTGTCAGAAAATGTTCAAATGTGTTTTTACATTTTACATGACATTCCTAATTTTGTTTCATCCTCAAAGTATCTCAGCATTATTCATAGAGGAGGAACAGCACGTGTGCTTTATAATTATGTCATTTACTCATGTAATTTCAAACCTGTATGACCATAATGCAACTAAATCATAACTAAAAACTAAATTTTTAAAGAAATATCCTGGCCACCCTTTTCCATATAATGAAAGTGAATGAGGACTGTGGCTGTAAAGCTTCAAAATTACATTTGATTCGTGAACAACTTTTCAGTGTATATTATACAATCAAGTTCATACAAACAGTTGGAACGATTCATTCACTGGACTGATTCAGTTCTCAGGTGATTCAATAATTGAGTCAATTGGAATATCGTGTATGAGTCATAAGGACAACTTGAAATAAAAGCATCATAATAGTAGCCCATTAGTAATCCAAGTCAATATTCATTGATAATCTTCCTTTCCAGTCAGGTTAACCATTGCAACTGGCATCATGAAGTCAGTCTATTGACCTTTTTAAAAGCCAGATGAATACGGACATCATTTTGATCAATTAAAGTACCAATCATCAGTTAATCACTGGAAAAGGAGATCAGAGTGGCAAAGAGGAATTATTCTGGAAAAATAAGGACTCAGTTCACTTCATGCTTTCAATATATGGAAAATAGCTGCTTTGACATTATTGAAAAAATGGATTTGGAATGAGATGAGGGTGAGTAAATAATGGCAGAATGCGTAAATTATGGCCGGATTGACTCTCGCATTAAAGTCACATGATCTGTCTAACCTTTAAAATAGATCTTTAGGTGTACTTTAAAGCGTCAAATGCCAAAAACAAATCGTCTTTCTAATTAGGTTCTTTATTATGCAAATATAGGCTGCTAGGCTGTTTTATTATTCCTAGTTCCATTACAAAACAATAAAATTCACATAACAAAGCACATATGCATAAGCGAGACACCGTTCCTCGATTCAATTTATTTATGTGAGCAACGATATGTTGACTTGTCCGTGATCCAGAGAAATACTGAGAACAACATTAGCAAATCAAGAAAACCAGAAGGACAAAATGCCTTCCGTGATGAACAGAGAGAACATTACAGGTATTTATAGTGAGCGATGCTTGGCAGTGAGGCATCCTAGAGTCATCCTGTTAATAATACTGTTAAAAGCACACAAAGTCAATGGGTTAGAGAAAAACATGCAAACATTTACATCTACCCACCACACACCGTTCTACAAAGAGCCATGGCTCAAAAGCTTGTGTCAAAATGGCTTTACTAAGAAAAGGTAGCTGTAAATGCTTCAATTTAGTGAAACATCTACCAGATATTTACATCTACCCTGCAACCTCTCCTTTTGTGAGGAAACACTTTTAGTGATACGGATTTGACCGCTCACATGGATAATGCAGTCCTTGGGAAAAAGCGATAGATTATTCACTAAGGATCTGTCAAGGGGTTACAAGATGGGTGAGGAAAACCAGCAGTAACAAAGAAGAGATGAGCTTATATTGTCGACTCAAAGAGAAATCCAGGCATAAGGCTCTGGTGAGACTAAGACACTTTGAATGGCTTCTAAAGGGCTGGATCAGCCACACTGACGTCTTTCATACTGCTCTGCCCTAGATACTTATCAGCAGTCGCTGAAATGCTTGTCAGGGCTGACCGGCTCAAAACTTGTCTTTCATTTCCGGATGTCTGACATTTCTCAGCACTCCTTTTATCAGCGGACTCAAACAATGTCAGATCCCCAAAGGTGCCCCATTCAGACGTTCCACACCCATCACTCAAATTCACGAGAAGGAGTGGCTATATTTAACCCACATTCAGGCAAAGGCCGAGCTTTAGTAGAGGTGAAACCCCTCGATGGAGATGAAGGCTGAGGAATTACATCACTCTTTGACTGATTCACAATGGAAGGCGACGACACTAGCTGGTTAACTACTGACACTTGTTGATCTACTATCAGTGGCAGTCAGAATTCGAAGTGATAGTAGAAAACGTGAGGCTTGTTGAACACTGCTATATTTCCCTGCTGAAAAGATCATTAGAGCTGGTCACCATCATACGATGTGTTTTGGATGCTGGTGCTGGGCAAGGAACCCTGTAGTCTAAACCTGACTTCTGAACTAGCTTAAACACAACAAAATCAAAACTCAATTTACCTGCTTAATAAACATCTATGGGATTATTGTGCATTATGACTCATCAGTGCACATGGAAAAAGGTCTCTATAATCTTTCCCTATCTTTGTTATCTTTCAAAAGAAACTGCAGCTGAAATCATTTTCCTTTTTGGTTGATGTCACCAAAGTAATGTAAGTTTCACCCACTGGTCTGGCTCTGCTCATGCTCCATCAACTTTACTCATTCGTTTAAAGAAATATCCTGGCCACCCTTTTCCATATAATCAAATTGAATGACAATGGGGGGTGTCGAGCTTCAAAATCTGATTTGTGAACAAATCGTTAATTTGAGTCGGATCATTTCAGTGTATTTTGTACAATCAAGTTCACACAAACAGTTGGAATGATTCATTTATTGAACTGATTTCCTTCTAAGGTGACTCAATGGTTCAGTCACTTAGAATATTGTGTACGAGTAATAAGGTACACTTGACAAAAAAGCATCGTAATAGTAGTCCATTAGTAATCCAAGTTATTATTCACTGATAATCTTCCTTTCCAGTCTGGTGATTGCAACTGGTGTCATGGAGATGATTAAAGACATAATTCTGGTTAACTACAGCCCCGATTCTCATTCACATTCTTTATATGGAAAATAGTTGCCTGGACATTATTGGAATTTTTTTTTTATTTGGAACGTGAGTAAACTTTTCAGAATCCAATCAGTTTCCAATGGGCAAAGTCCAATCCAGCCTTTCATTCAGAGATACGTCATATGACAAAAATAAAATAGGTTGCAAATACTATATCATGCTGACTTTAACCAGCAAGACTTCCTTGGTCAAATTTTGCTGATGGACAGCATGTCTAAGCAGGTTCGCCACATAGGAAAGCACCAGACCAGAACAAACCAGTCAGAACATCATGAAAATCCAAGCTGGTCTTTTCAGCAGGGTGTTTATATACAATTAGTAGTCATAAATCTCCTAAACTAAATTGTCCCAGTGATTATTTAGTAATACAACTGATATTTCTAGTTAACAACAACAACAAAACGAGAGGAATACAGTTTTGCGCTGTTGCAAAGTGGCTCCAGTGTAAGTCTGAGCAGTTGATACTGCCAAGATGATAGGCACACTGAATAGACAACTGTGGCTACAAACATATGACAAGAACAAGGGCGTTCAGTATTCAATTCGAGTCTGTACTGAACACACAATAGTGGGAAGGCTTCAGCTGTGAGCCTATGTTAGCACCATCTCATACTGTGAGAGTCATTATCACATTGGTATACATTGAGAGTATGGCACTGTACTGACAAACAAAAAGATATTTATCAACCAAGGGAATGGACTGGCTTACTCAAAGTTCTTAATATCTGCCAAAGACCATCCATTTTACATTTGCATGTCTTGCCCTTTGATGAGAGATGAGCCTCTCTGAAAGTTCCTGTTTATATGTGAGGACAAAGCAAGGAGAAAAACAAAATAGCGTGTTCACAATGGTTGTTTAATGTCAAGATGAAATCTTTCCTTCTTAACTTCTTTCCTGCTTCTCCTTCACCGATGAGAGACGTCACTGGTTGACTGCCTTCACCAATGAGTGTCCCTTCCACTGGCATCTGCCATAGGCCACTGAGCCCTGATGGCTATCCATTCAGTATGGCCTTAACATCATCTCTTCCATTCTAGTGTGTAACTTCATACAGGTGTTGTCCTCCTGTTGATACCATCATTAAGGTCTTTGGAAAAGCAGTTGTGCACTTGGAGGAATCCCGAATCGTGTTCTGGGCTGTAGGAGCCGTCCGTCCCTGACTTGAGGGGGTCTCTTGTCAATGTGTACATGCTGATCTCTCCGACAGGCACCGAGCTCATCCTCTTCATGCCCACAGGTGATGCTTCGCGAGATGCTTCTGTTGAACGAGAGCTGGAGCGCGAGTGCCGTCGACGATAGCGAAAGCTGGGTATGCGAGAATACGGCGAAGAGGACGAGGTAGACTTGATGAACTCACGGCGAGCTTTGAATCGTACTTCCTTGTTCTTCTCAATGTAGATACTGACAGCCAGAACGGCCACCGCCTCGGCCACAATGAAAGACAGCGCTCCGAAGTAGAACGACCAACCGTAGTTATACTGGTTCTTCTTGTCTTCGTCTCGTTTGTCACTGGGGTCACCGGCATTGCTGGAGATGTAGACGATTATACCGATGATGTTGCTCAAACCTGCCAGACACAAAACAGAGCCAGGAAATCATAAGAAAAATTCCTTGATATGAAGTAATATAACAGAGTTACGACTTTATTAAACTTTTCCTTGGTTATAAAAGGATAAATATATGGATAAATGTGGATTCCAACACCAAGATGTTACATTCAGCTGGTTGGGATATGTCAACATTGAAAGGTTAACACTGCAGGTTGTGCAGCCTTTAGTTGTACGAACCAACAACACAGATTTTAGACAAAATGGGATAGATTTTCTCAGGGGTTAATATTAATGTAGACATGGCACTTGGCACAGGCTGCAAATGTCTTCTGAGCAGCATGTGTTTATGTCAAGGGATCATGTTTGGCTGGTTAGTGTAACTCAGGGTAGCCAAACCTGCTAAAACACACTTGTCTGTTATTTTTGAAGTAACCCTGAACACTTTGATTTGAAGGTTCAGGTGTGTATAATAAAGACTGGAGCTAAACTATATAGGAAGTTAGCCTTCCAGGAGCAGGGTTGGCTACCCCTGGTGTAACTGGTCCTGCATGCACCACAATGAGCTAGGTTCAAACCACCGTCAACCAGCATGAGAGGCGGGCATGCTTACAAGATTACTAAAGACTGCAGCCTCTAGCATGAGTTGGTGGTATGCCTCTTGAGGACAGGGGAGTAAAGTTTACCTCCACGGCTTGCCTCTGTGACACTCACCCTGAATCTCACTCCCATCCGGGTCATGTCACCAAGATTTGAACCAGCGTCGACCAACCGCTAATCCGCTAACAAGGATGCTAAAGACCACAGACTCTAACATTAGTTGCTAGTGTGCCTCTTGAGGCCAAGGGAGTGAGGTCTATGTGCACAGCTCTTACTATCATGCCTTTGTCACTCACCCCCTAAACCTCGCTCCTATTTGGGCCACAGCACCAATGTAACGGGTCCTACTAGCACCCCTCTGAGAGGGATTTGAAACAGTGTCAACTGCCATGCATAGCAAGAATGTTAACAAGGATGACAAAGAACATAGCCTCTAGCCTTGAGACCAGGGGAATGAGGTTTACCTGCAAAGCTTGCCTCTGTTACACTTTCCACCCTAAAGCTCACTCCCATCCGGGTCATGGCACCAAGATTTGAACCAGCGTCAATCAGCATGGGAGGCAATCCACTAACAAAGATGCAAAAGACCACAGCCTCTAGAATCAATTGCTAGTGTGCCTCTTGAAGCCAAGGGAGTGAGATCTACCTGCATAGCTCTTACTAGTTGCCTCTGTCACTCAACGCCTTAAACCTCACTCCTATTTGGGTCAAGGCACCAATGTAACTGGTCCTACTTGCACCATTTTGAGAGGGATTTGAACCAGTGTCAACTGTCATGCGTGATGTGAATGCTAACAAGGATGTTAAAGAACATAGCATCTAGCCTTGAGGCCAGGAGAGTGAGGTTTACCTGCACAATTCTTCGGAGCTTGACTCCATTACATTAGCATGGTCCAATTAGCCCCTGCCGGTTTATGTTGTAACATTACCATCTTGTTGAAAAACTGCTATTGAGATGAATGGGAATGCTAACGGATAGCTTACCAGGTATTATAAACCACTTGATTTACATGTGGATCTTGACCTTTCTAATATTGTAGACATGCCGATACAGTATATTGTGGTAATTAGCAACAATTGCAATTGCAGCATCTAGGAAATGCATGACCCGCCAAGACACACTATGCCATCTAGCCTAGTGCTACTTTTACTACTAGCCTAATACTTTATACAGTCTTTTACCGTTTTGTTAAAGTCTTTTCACCAACTTTACATTAGGTGTATCAGGTGATGAAACTTTAGTGAATAAAAGGAAGGCACTTTTAGAACAAGTAATATCAACTCAGTAAATTCAGTTGAATAACAGCTAAAAAGTGGGGGAGTTGTCGCCCCCTCAGTTCCAGTTCACCTGCCAGTAACAGCAGGGATAAGTTGTGCTATCAGAGCATAGAAATTCTCCTATATTATATTCCAGTTATATTCAGTTAACAAATTGTATTTGGTAATGGTGCTAAAAGTGTCTTAAGTGAGTTAAAAGACCCCTATGTGCATGTTAGAAGATGGTCATTAGCAAGTTTACCTGCTGCCACAAATAGTATCCCTGCACTGAGTAATATGTTGTTCCTCTTGCTGTAGATGCGTCCTATCCCGACACATAGTCCCCCCAGCAACAGCAGAATGGTACTGAGGATTGGGAACACACTGGAGGCGCGCACTATACCTGTTCACACACACATATAAATACGGCTTTTACTTTAGCAAGATATCTAAAGGTGCATGATAAGAACATTTAGATGTAGACAGTAACACTGTAACATTTCTGAAGAGAGAGTCACTCACGTAAGAGATATTCAGAGCTGTCTGTGTCATAATCATTGTCATCTGGGAAATGATTGATTCGGTAACAACTTCCTTTGTTGAGACCTACAAAAATATGAAAACGGTCAAGATTCGTGAGGACCTGGAAACAATGCAAATCTCCAAGCATAAATGAGAATACTGGGCAGCAGAACAAACTATTTAACAAATAACAAAAACATCCTGCGTATGGTAGGAATTTGTTCTGTTGTGAAGCAGTAGAGGATTTAATTTTAAGCCTTGAAATTGTTCAGTGACAGATTTGAAAGTCAAGAGGGGCTTTCACACATTCAACCCTTTCTGGAAAATTACCAGTAAATTACAGTTTTGATGCTATGTGTGAACAAAGCATAAGATTACCGGTATGAGCATGTACAAGGTCTAGACACACTTAAGTAAGAAGTCTGCTTTGGGCCTGTTCTGAAGTAGATGATGCAATTATCTTTCTATGTAAACATGACGCTAGATGTATGGCAAGCCAATAGGCTCAGCATTGCAGTATTGTTTACATCCAAAATGCTGTAAATGCTCCAATACAGTTTCAAATGCCATCAAATGCAATGTTTTGTATGTAAACGCAATTCTTCTATAGCATAATTTTGATTCTATTGGCTAGCAGTGTTTTTCAGCATCTTGCATATGAGCATTGCATATTTAAAAATGTGTCTTGAAACATTGCCTTTAAAAAGCAAAAATGTAGTATATGTATGTAGGGCTGGGTATCGTTCAAAAATTTTCGATATCGATACCGATACCTTGACTTCGATACCGGTTCCTGAACTATACTTTTTTCAATACCAATTTTATGAAATCAATTTGAACAAGATTACTTTATCTAAAAAAAAACACGTTGGTTTTATTTTTCAGCTTGTTGATGTTTATACAGACTCAAAGACTCATTTCCTGAGCCACTGCGCAAAGGAACAAAATGTAACCAACACAATAAATCAGTGCAAATAGTTTTAATAAAGCTCAGATAGTCTTCAGTTTACACATCTATTAGGCTACATTTACACTAGTGCGTGTTCGTTTTAAAACTCATAGCTCAGATAGAATCATGATTTCTATTCATTTTCCACTGATTTACTGATGAGCATTAGCAGCTTCCAGCGCTGTCTGCTTGTGTTCTCTCTTCCATGATCGCTGCTCTGACTATATATCATATAATAACATAATAACATATTTAATTTCAGCAACATTACATGGCCAAAACACACATTAGACGGCAATCGGAAGTTATTACAAACACTCAATGGTGGTTTAAATTGAGTTTTGAGTAAAAGTGGAATATAAATCTTATTTATTGTCTTATGTAGCATGATGCTACAGTTTGCATGAATGGTCACATAACACGCGCTTTCGGTCGTGTAATGTTAGTATGGACGGACATCTGCATATGATCGGAACTCCACGCAGCTCCCGTGGTACTCTCCGTTGGAAATGAATGACTGAATGACCGGTCTGCCTCCTTTGTCGTTTGTCAGAGATAGTGGAAAGCCGGCTTGAAACGCCAGTATGATGAGGATCATTTTCATTTTAAAACATAAACGCACCAGTGTAAATGTAGCTTTACATCTATGGGGGCTGGGACGCATTCACATTACAGCCTCACGTGTGCGCCACATCTCTGAGTGCAACCGGTGTAAACTAGTAGGTGTGTTCGACTTGACGCGGACAGACTGTGCAGACCGATCGGTGTATTACAGTACCACGAGAGCTAAAGAGAGCAGACTGCTCAGTGTGCTTTCTAATCGCTTTCGCGGATGTCAAACACTGATCGATCTGCGTCGCACCTCTTCTAGTCGAGCACACCTAGTCCTGCAGGTTTATTGGCTCACTGATGCTGATGAGATGAACCCCTTAGGTATCGAAATTTGGTACCGAACGACGAGACGTTTTTCAATACTCGATGGTATCGAGGCAATTCGGTCGGTGCCTAAAAAGTATCGAACTCGATACCCAGCCCTAATTCTATGTTATCATCATATGTCACTCTGAAGTCAAAAAAATGTTTATGGTGTATTTACCAGAAAAGGCAATCTCAAAAAAAAAGTATTATGGCTATTTTCTGTATTTAAAATGTAAAAGAAAATTACTGGTATAAAACCATATTCACAACCAATTTTAATTCCATAATGTGACATATTTCCAAATGACGAATCAACTTGGCTAGACTTTTTCCAATGAGTTGTTATTTGCTATTATTTCATATTCTTTGATTCTTTACTATTAACTGTTAACATTACAGTAACATTAAATGACTGCATTAACCACTGGAAACATTTTAGAAATCCTGCATAACCAATAAAAGACCTAAACAAATATTGAAATATTGAAAAGGTTATTTGGCTATTGGTTAACATTAAACTAGCCCACATGACCTAGCTGATGTCAACAGAAAAGTAAAGTTGTTTCAGAGTAAGAGCAAGCTTTATGATTTTCTCTGGAAAGACCAAGAATGTGTATTAAGAAAGTTGCTAGGTTGATTTTTTTTTTATTTGATCTTGACTTTAAGTGGGGAGATGTGTTCAGCAGGTCTTAACATACATCATAAAGTGTCACATTGCAAACCTCCCTCGCTCTGTCTGTCTCCAGGTCGAGTCTACTCCCTGTGACACAGCTTTTGTGTGGCCCAGCATGCCATTAATTGGGTCTAGTGTTAAAAAAGGAGCAAATTAATTAGTATTAAATAGGTCTGAGAAAGTGGGGCATGTGTTTAGTCTAGTCATTGTAAAAAAAAATCTCTGTAAAATATTGTAATGTAAAATGATATATAATTTGAATCTGAAACATTATGTCACAGATTTATATATATATATATATATATATATATATAGATAGATAGATAGATAGAATGGTATTCTATTATTTGTAGTATTCTTTGAAGCATCTTGGAGTAACATGTAAATAATATGGTACATGAATATGAATATGAGTATCCTCTAGTATCATTGTGTCTATCATATTACCATGGTATTATCTTCTGGTTTTGTATTTTTTAGAGTTATAAGACATAGTTATGAGATCCAAATTCACTTTTTAATACACATTTGTGGTCTTATTTAGAGACCACTTTTCATCAGTTAATCAATTACCAAAGTGTGAAGTGACACCCTATGCTGCCTTCTTTTGAAATATCCTATTTCACTCTAAAGTATGTCACATTACTAAAGTAAAATGTGATGCCAACTCCATGTCATGCTGAATCTGAATACATTGATTCTTACAAAGTTAAAACTGCCTTTCAGTATGAGACCTTTTAACCAATCAGAACAAGTATTTAATGAAGTATTTATAAAAGGTACACAGTGAGAACGGTATACTAATGAACCTCAGAATAAATCTTGTTCTTGGGTCACAACCTATCCTTGGAACCCCTTAAGACAAAACTGTGTAATAAAATCCATCAATAATTAGTATTATGACAGATAGTTGATGTGATATTATGTTCATCTATACGTCTTTGTCTGTTGGGGAAAAAACAGAATGTTCATGGCTCATGCATTTTAATATGGATAATGCAACTATTGCTTTTATATAGCTTTTACTTATTTCATTGTTATTTATTTATCTATTGGTTATAAGTATTATTCTTTAGTTTTCTTATTTAATTACAAGGGAGAAGCCCAAATAGAGTTCAATTGCACATGTGTATAATGACAAAAGACTATTCTATTCATTTACATATGCCAAAAATATTTTACATCTTTATTCTATTCTAGTCTGTTCTGTTCTATTCTTTCTATCTATCTATCTATTTACATATGCCAGAAATATTGTACATCTCTATTCTATTCTATTCTATTGTCTTTTTACATATGCCAGAACTACTGTACAACTTTATTCTATTTTATTCTATTCTCTCTCCATTTAAATATGCCAGAAATATTGTACATCTTTATTCTATTCTCTCTGTTTACAAATGCCAGAAATATTGTACATCTCTCTTCTCTTCTCTTCTCTTCTCTTCTCTCAGTTTACAAATGCCTCTCTTCTCTTCTCTTCTCTTCTCTTCTCTTCTCTTCTCTTCTCTTCTCTTCTCTTCTCTTCTCTTCTCTTCTCTTCTCTTCTCTTCTCTTCTCTTCTCTTCTCTTCTCTTCTCTTCTCTTCTCTTCTCTTCTCTTCTCTTCTCTTCTCTTCTCTTCTCTTCTCTTCTCTTCTCTTCTCTTCTCTTCTCTTCTCTTCTCTTCTCTTCTCTTCTCTTCTCTTCTCTTCTCTTCTCTTCGTTTATATATGCCAGAAATATTGTACATCTTTATTCGTTGTATTGTCCCCAGTTTATTTGATTCCAAGGCCTTCAGCATCTCTCATGGACACCTTAAACAATCATTTTTGTAATTTAATATAAAAATGGAAAATTATTTAACTGTAAAAACAAAACCTGATCACCAACATGATGTGAAAATGATCCAAAGACCCGGTGGCAAAGATCTGGACCCTTCAAAGTTCAAATGTTTAACGACACTGTTTACTTCCAGGTTTAACGAAACAAATCAGCCATTTCCAGTGTGTTCTCAGACTTCGAGACCCCACTGTACATCCACACAGGCTCTTTGACAGACTTTATAACTTCTGTGTGTACAGTGAGTGTGGTGAGCCATAGAATCTTATGTAAAGCTCTGCTCAGGCTGTTGATTTACAGGAGCTGGTTATTGGCCCAGTGACTGAAGTGTACCTAGCCTCATAAAGACAAAATAAAGAACCTCGCTTGACTGACACGGAGGCACATCAGAGAGGGAGCGCGAGAGAAGAGAAAACGAGCGCTTGGTCCCTGCGGCTCACCTGGAGGTAACAATGCTCATCGCTGAGCATGTCTTCTCCATGGCAACCTCAGGTCTGATCCAACAATCTGATTTCCATAATGGCTCCAAGAATGACTTTGACATCTTCATTGTGGTTTAATACAGCAGACAGCAACACACTCGTCTCCCCCATGCCAAAAGCCCCCTCCTGCCTCGCAAACCCACATCCCCACTGGGCACATCCAGCGTAGCAAGGAAACAGCTGCCATATTCCCCGCCTTATGCCGCCTCCAGCATTTTGTCATAACTGTGAATTGGGGTAGG